TTTTAATGTTTGTCTGCTGCACATCTCTTACCTGGTTCAGTTTGTTAGTTAAACATTTATGATGATATTTTGTTAAAAAAAAAAAAAAAATCTTCCTCAGGGTGAAAAAATTCAAGGATATATATATGAATTGTAACATGACCACCTATCTTTGATAGTTTAACTTTTCGATTTTAGTCTTCAGTTCATGAGAAAACCATATTGAAACTCAAGGTTATAGGTCAGAGATCAAGGTCATTGATAGAGGTTTTTAATTTCCATTTGATACTAGGCGTGACAGTGCAACAGTTGTATAATAATGCCAACTAATTCAAATTTTCATAAAGTTTAAGGTAAAAGAAGACTTGGTCATCAGTCTAGCAACATATCTCTTATTGAATGTCACCAGCATAGTCATTTTAAGGGGAAAACAATTATTGCCACCTACTGAAAGGGATGACAGTGATCACAAAATCCTATGATGCTTTGTGGTATTGAATGAACATGCTGGAATGTTCATGGAATTATGATTCTGAACTTCTCCCTGGTTATAAGGTATAATGATGGTCCCAGGGCGATATCAAAATGGCTCTTCTGGCATTAACACAATCAATGCCATTTCACAAAAAAAAGTTGATAATGGCAATTTGATTTTGAATTTGTCTGCCCTGTAGATTTAGATACTAAGCCAGACTCTTTCAGTGTCATTATCACTCGGTGTGTTATTGTGATAGTAAGAGTCATGTTTTTACTGTAGTGATATGGAGTTAAGTATTCAACATCTTCCTGTGTAATCTCAACCTTAAAACATTTGGAACTTAATGTACCTTTTAGAATGTTAAGTGTTTTTTTTTTTTTTTCTTTATTGAGTTTTTTGGAATATGTCCTTTGTTGGTAATATGCTAAACATTCCTTGCATTGCACAAGCCCTTATTTCCATTAGGATAGGATCGATTTTTATACTAAAGTCTACAATACAATCATCAAAATATAATGTAGTTAATAATCCAATCGGTTTTCAGAAGTGATTTCTTTATAGTTGATACAGGGAGAAGCTTTATTTTTGGTTTACATCTTATTAACAGTCAGGGTCAGATGTAATTTTATCTCAATTCTTGTGTGAAGTAGACCATAATAATTTGATGCATATTTTTAGCCTGGTTTTGGAAATATTTTTACATTAGTGATTGAGTTGATGGCTGTCAGAATCTGCACAGGATCGTACTTTAAGGCCTATGTGTATGTCTGCCTTGCCAGAAACTGGCAAAAAATGCAAATTGTATGCTGCAGAATTTGTAGATAAAGGTGTCAGATGGTACATAGTGGGACTGTAATCTCGTTAAGTTGGTACAGTAACTATATGGCACGTGGGTCAGATAAATGCATGCACACACACGTGCATTCATGTACACACAGCTACATAAATGTACACATCTATACATGTACATGGCACATACATGCAGTACAATGGCTATTTAAACTGTTTAATCAAAGGGTAGGAAAAGAAATATACAACAAAAAGTCATTTTACATTTCATTTGACTTTTTATTTGACCTCTCTTGGAAGACTTAAGGTAGTGACATTGATCTAGTGAGACTAATTACAGTGAACCTGCATTGAGAGACCAATAATAGAGAACTGATGTTGGAAGACCAATGATAGTAAAAATTTTCTGACTAATAGTAGAGCACCTGTTTTGAGTGACCAAAGATAATAAACCTGTCTAGAGAGACCAATGAAAGTGAAACTGTTTTGATAGACTGGTGATAATGAACCTGTCTTGAGAGACTGATGAATTTGAATACGTCCAGAGAGGCCAACAGTAGAGAACCTGTCTAGAGAGACCAATGAAAGTGAAACTGTTTTGATAGACAGGTGATAATGAACCTATCTTGTGAGATCATTGATAGTGAACCTGTCTTTAGATACCTTTGAAATTGAATCTGTCTTGAGAGACTGACGATAGTAAACCTGTCCTGAAAGATCAGTAATTGAGATACTGTCTTGGGAGACCAACTGTAGTGAAACTGTATAGAGAGATCATTAATAATGAAACTGTCTTGAGAGACTTATGAAATTGAACATGTCCAGAGAGGCCAACAGCAGAGAACCTGTCTAGAGAGACCAATGAAAGTGAAACTGTTTTGATAGACTGGTGATAATGAACCTGTCTTGAGAGACCTATGAAATTGAATATGTCCAGAGAGGCCAACAGTAGAGTTTTGATAGACTGGTGATAATGAACCTGTCTTGAGAGACTGATGAATTTGAGTACGTCCAGAGAGGCCAACAGTAGAGAACCTGTCTAGAGAGACCAATGAAAGTGAAACTGTTTTGATAGACTGGTGATAATGAACCTGTCTTGAGAGACCTATGAAACTGAATATGTCCAGAGAGGCCAACAGTAGAGAACCTGTCTAGAGAGACCAATGAAAGTGAAACTGTTTTGATAGACAGGTGATAATGAACCTATCTTGTGAGATCATTGATAGTGAACCTGTCTTTAGATACCTTTGAAATTGAATCTGTCTTGAGAGACTGATGATAGTAAACCTGTCCTGAAAGATCAGTAATTGAGATACTGTCTTGGGAGACCAACTGTAGTGAAACTGTATAGAGAGATCATTAATAATGAAACTGTCTTGAGAGACTTAAGAGATCCTGTCTTGAGAGACCAATGATAGTGAATGGAACCTGTCACAGGAGATCAGTGAAAGTGAGCCTGTTGTAAGAGACAAATGGTAATGAATCTATCTTGAGAGACCATTAATAATGAACCAGTCGTGAGTGAAAAGACCAATAAAACAAATTTGCCTTGAAAAATCAAAAGCCAATATTATTAACCTGTCTAAGAGGATCATCAAACCAGCCTTGAGGGAACAACAGTAGGGAACCTGTCTTGAAATACTAGTTGTAGTGAACCTGTCTTGAGGAAACCATCTTGATAGATTGGGAATAACTTGAAACCTGTCTTCACCAAAACATTTTATAAATGATCAAGAGCCAGCATTGAGAACCTAAAAATCTCTTGTCTTAAGGGAGCTGGTTAATGTACTGATGAAGGACTGTCTGTCACTATCGACTCTGCAACACACTTTTCACCTCAGAGGAAAATTCATCCTTGAATTGCTCAAAGCTCTCAAACATGAACGATGACTATTTTGAAATACCAAAGCTTTTCAACACATAATTAAAACATGTAGACATTTATGGGGCATAGTTATGCATACACCTAACCAGTCTATTCTGGCTCCTGTCAGTACATTGTAATGAAATCTTATTAGAGCCTATTCATCACAAAAGTATCCTGAAAAATTGCTCTAAAATAAAGATAATTGGCAATCACTTTGTAGCATGTCTAAGTAAAAACAAAGCAAGTGATTGCTCTTAATGACTTTAATCCACACAACAAATATCTTTAGGAGATGATGATTTGAGAATTTCAGTGCCGCAGAGTGTAACATTATTTATGTTGTGATAATAAAAGTTAATGAACAAGTTTTTAGCCTACTGAATTTATTAAGATGTTTGCCAATAGCTTTGGTTATGGTGGAAAACCCTGTATTAGGTTACCTGTATATTGAGAACGAGATATGTCATAGAAACCATTAAAGTTTCCTTTGATATCCTTGGTTTCTCTTTGTAAGCACGTATATTATAGAGTTCTGACGACCATATGCATTAGGATATTGTTTTGTTTGCTGGGTTTATCACCAAGTGAACTGCCAGTGTCGTTTTGAGGCAGTATCTTTTTGTGGTAGCTGTTTGCTACCTCACATAATAACATACATGAGGCCCTTCGCATGACACCCAGAGCAATAAGAATACTGTGTCTTTCCAATAGTGTCAAGGACACAAGCATGACAGCACAGACAGATCCATTTTTCAGATTCTTGAGAAACATAGACCTCCATTGTTAGGATGCACTGAACACCATATGCATCAGGATAACCATTTTCAACAACTATGGTATAATGAAGCATTTCTTTCTTGTTCTTCCACCAACTTTGATGTATCATGGTGACGTTGTATGGTTCCTTCTAACAACCTTGGAATATTATGGTGACGTTGTATGGTTCCTTCTGACAACCTTGGAATATTATGGTGACGTTGTATGGTTCCTTCTGACAACCTTGGAATATTATGGTGACGTTGTATAGTTTCTTCTGACAACCTTGGAATATCATGGTGATGTTGTATAGTTTCTTCTGACAACCTTGGAATATCATGGTGACATTGTATAGTTTCTTCTGACAACCTTGGAATATCATGGTGACGTTGTATGGTTCCTTCTAACAACCTTGGAATATCATGGTGACGTTGTATGGTTCCTTCTAACAACCTTGGAATATCATGGTGACGTTGTATGGTTCCTTCTAACAACCTTGGAATATCATGGTGACGTTGTATGGTTCCTTCTGACAACCTTGGCATATCATGGTGACCTTGTAAAGTTCTCTAAGACAATTTTGATGTATGCTGGTAAACATGTATTCAAAAACATTGATGATGAGTGCCATGTCAGCCTTAAGAGAGAAAATAACACTTTAGATACTATTATTTAAAATGAAATCCAATTTTTAAGGATGGTTAAAGACCTAGTATAATTGCATTCATTGTTGCTGCAAGTCTTTGTAAGTGATGATGTAAGACTTCATCAGGAAAAGGAAATCCAGTTTAAGAAAGGACTGTTTTGTTGAGATATTTATAGTCTGGTATTGGTAAAAAGTTACGCCTACTTTAAGTTTAATTTACCATTTGATGCTTGCTTATTTTTGGCCTGAGGTGTTTGCTAGTATCTCTATTTACTTACTTCAACTTTGTTTACATCCTAAAACAGTATAGCTATTTTTGTCTTTGTTGTTTTGCCATCTGAATTAAAGTTAAGGTAGTCCCATTAGAGCTATTTATCACATATCGATGTTGTATTTTTCCATGTCATTATTAAGTGTGTCAAAATTACATTATTTATGTCTTTGGTGTTGATGAAATGTTAAACATTCTTTCCTTGTCATTTCAGCTGTGACCACAGTAGTTGTAATTGTGCTGTTTGTCGTGTTGATGCCGGTGCTGGCCGTGTTTATATGCGTTGTGAGCCCTTGCAGATCTACGTCTCGTATGTGGCGTCGCTGGAGGACCCGAGACCGAGGTGTGGACCATCGTCAGTTACGGCCAGACTCTCAAGGATCAGAGGTATAAAACATCTGTAACCACACTAGTGTTTGCATTGACTCATGATAATATATTCTTATGATGTGTTTTTGAACATATTAGAATTGTCCCGATAAATGTCTTCAAGTACTGGTAACGCCCCTAATTAATGAGGTCCTCACTAAATTTGCGATTCAGTGGTCATGTCTACGGTCACAAACTTATACTTCACCTCTTGTGAGAGTTGGAAGTTCAAATGTTATGGTTTAAATTTTCAAATTTTCGATGTCACCCAACAGACATTGTCTTTTACTGTCACGCCAATTCACCTACATCATGACATACAACACTCATGTATGAGTTTGCATTGTTAAAATTGTTCAAGTATAGGTTAAAGGTCACAGTCAAGGTGACTTGGTGAAAAATTGTGGTATCAGCAGAACGGTCTTGTCACAGGGAACACGCATGCCAAATATGAAAACCCTACCTCTTCTGGTGCAATAGTCATGGCTAAAGTTAAAATATTTCATATGTAGGTTAAAGATCATGGTCAAGGTCACATGTGGGAAATTTTTGATATCACTGAAATGGTCTTGTCTCAAAGTAACACACGTGCCAAATATGAAGGCCTTACCTCTTATGGTGCAATAGTTATGGGCACTGTTAAAGTTGACAACAGACAAACAGACAGCACAAGAACAATAGGCCCCATATCTTCCAATCCAGGGGCATAAAAATACTTAGGACTATAGCATTTATGAATGTTTCATTCCTATGGTTATGTATGCAGCTAAATTTTCATGAAAAATATACAATTATAGTGTCATTACTGAGGTAAAGAGTCTTTTAATGTAGTTAGTAAAAAGTATAGGTGAAGGGAACTAACACTGATGAAGCTGATTTATTTGCAAATATTGTATTACCTGGCTCTTTAATTAATAATGTATTTTACAAAGCAAATTTATGTCTCCTGTGATCGCAACCAATAAATTGTATTTCTGTCATTTCTATTTAGCTTATGTCAGAATATGGGTAAAGGGAAGTAACTCTGATGGCACTGAGATATATATACATATATAATAAATTAAACATTTTTTAAGTAAAATGATGTTTTATGTGATCGTATGATGGATTTCAAACATGTAATGGTTATTGTTTGCTTGGAGGTAGCTATTGATCTATTGTATCTTCATATCCAGCCTCATTACCATGAAGGTTGCTTGCTTTGATGGCAGCTTAGGTTGAAATGGATATGCTAAGGTAGTGTCTCTTAATTTTAACATGGTTTTAAACATATTCATGGTCAATGCATTGAATTGTAATAATAAAAGACAATAGGAAGTAAAATACAATGAATAATTTAATGACAGCTATTTTCTTTGTTTGATGGATGAGCATATGATTCAGGCCTATTAGGCCTTTTGTATCATGGTTTTATATTGCACAATGATATTGATGAATGTATTAATCACAAAAAGATAACGCATGGCGTATTTTGTCCCAGCACACTGACAATTATTTCTTTTGTATTATATAATCAGCTGATTTAACAATGTAGGTGCGCTAATTATTTGATAGATCACAAAAACACATACATGTGTGATTGTAAAATGATTGATAGCCACATAAAGCCTTTCTTTGGTGAATGTATGACAGTTATTTGCCGAACCATAAGGTTTTTACATGGAGGCTTCAGATATTAGGACACATGTACTTTTGACAAAGGCCTGCGAGAATTGGATTTCTTTGTGAGCTTCCTGACATGTCATAGAGGAAATAGATCAATTTCTCTGTCTTTTGAGGCCTCATAATCATGTCCTTCTAGCCTTTTTAAGTCCCCCACTGTTGGCAAAATAGATTAAATTCCAGACAAAATTTTCAAATTGCTGCAAGATTGTAATGCAGAGAGCCTCACTACAGTCATCAAAACAACTAGAGAATATGATGAAAACATTAAATGAACATTCCATGACCTCCTCTTTGATCTCAAACAAATGCAGTCTTCCTACACGTTGGAAAGGCATCAAGAATTCCAAATTAATTTACAGACTTAAAAAAATCATTTTTCCTTTTAAGTTTTCCTTTTTTTTTTGTTTTGTTCTCATATAATGCATAAAACAAAAATTGTTCAAATCTTTTTTGTTTACTTTGTTGTTGTTTGTTTTTGCCCCAGTTGCCTGTTACTAAACATTTTATGGAATAGTTAAGTTATGAAAAATGATTTCTATTATGTAATGCATTGGTACTTCTATATTGATGCGTTATAAGTATACTTGAATAAACTATTCCTTGAAAAACGATTTGAATAGTATGTATTTAGATGCCATATGCAATATGCTAATTTTGATTCTACTGCAACATACAAAATATGGTAAGTTCTTTTGTGGATGTTACCTAGATTTTCTTTTCAGATATTTTGTGCTTTGTATTTGTGGTTAGTGTTATGTTTACTTAACTAAAATGTTTTGATAAGGAATTCAATAAAATGATTCAACATTATACAGGTATATGGGAATACTAGAATCATTTACCTCTGTACATACATATCAACCCATGGATAATACTTTTAAAAGTAAATAGCATGAAGCATTGTATAGTGCTGAGCTTTGGAAATAGTATCCCAGAGGTTGATAACTCTGTCCTCATCACATAAAGGTGATCAGTTATTTTTTTCCTTCCCTTTTCACACTTTGTTAAAAAATTTTCCTTCTCCCTTTTATGCCCCCAAACTTTTCAGAGTTATTACCCTTTGTTGAAATTTTGTGTCCAGAGCACATCTTTAAATTGCTTGCATTTAAACTGGGATAATGAAACTTGGTGTATAGATTTATCAAAGACAATGAGCTGTGAAAGAAGTTCATTGCCCCTCAATCATGGAGTTATTTGCATAACTGCTTGAATTAAAGGAAGTGTAATGAAATGTAGAGCACATATTGATCATACTAAGAGGATATGCAGTATACCAAATTCAGGGCCTGCATCCCCCTAACTACAGAGTTAAAGCCCTTTGTTAATTCTTTTGTGCCCAGAGCAGAACTTTACTTTCATTTAAACTAAGATAATGAACATTGGTGTATATATCAGTCATACTAAGAGGATGTGTAATACATCAAATTCATGGCCTGCAACCCCTTAATTACAGAGTTATTGCTCTTTGTGAAAATTGTGTATCCAGAGCACAACTTTAAATTGCTTGTATTTAAACTAGGGTAATGGAACTAATAATACATCAGTCATACATTAACCATGTTCAATGTAGCAAAGTCAGTGTCAAATACCCCTAAGTTACAGAGTATTTGCCCGTTGTTGAAATTTTATGTTTTATGTCATTCCTAGTAACTTTGCTTCCATTTAAACTAGGATAATAAAACTTGATCAATGTGTCTGTCATATTAAGAGGATGTACATTATACCAAAGTGTCTGAATCCCCTTAATAACAGAATTTTTGCACTTTGTTAAAATTTTATGTCCAATGAAGTCATTTTTGGGGAGCATTTTATCAATTTCACTGATACTCTTGTCAATTTTAAAATATGTACCATCATTATTTTTCTGTATTGTGTGTAAAAATTGATCACATTTTCCAATAGTTATAGCCTTATGGTTATGCTCCTGAAATGCACCTCAAAGGTTAAAGAGATATGAATACTCCACTAGAGGGAATAGGATGTATATTAGAGCAGAGTCTTTCCAAATATTACATCCTTGGGTAGAATATACATTTCCCATGTATCTCACTGTCAAAATTGATGGGGCGGACAAAGAAAGGCTGAAAATTGTTTGTCAATATGTTTGATTGAAAATTTAGGAAAATGTTTTCATTTTTGAAGGTGGTACTTCCCTTTTGAATTGCTTGTTTATGTTTTATTCTAGCAAGTTTGTCTTTGCATGGTGGCTCTAATTGATCCTTTCTTGTTGTTAGGTTGTATTCATCCCGCCTACCACATCATCCCCCAGTTCTACCACCACGCCAGCCCACCTGGAGCAACAGATTGCCCTGATGAGGGAGCGCCACACACTACTACAATCAGCGCGCACAGGCATGGAGATAGGCCTGCCCACCTCGGTGCACATCTCCCAGGATGGCGAGGAGGGGTATGCAGAAAGCCAGAAACAACTGGCTCATCACTCCAAACAGGAGATCTACCAACCCTGCTTTAGACCTCCGCCTAACAAGACAGTGTACGACAAGGATAGTCCCCCGCCGTACTATGCTGTAAAGGGCCTTGGCCCATCCCCACAAACAGTGTCCCCTGGGACACTGGTGCAAGACTCAAATGGCTGCTCCATGATGGTGCAGTGCTTCAATCTGTCAAATAACAATGAACACCACAGTGATGGCTGCCTGCGTCAGCCAAATCAGTGTAGGACTAGTGTCCGTGGAAGTGTGACTCCCAATGTAGGCACTTCTCCACGTGTACATGTTACACATGATAGTGCAACAGACCTTGGACGGCATAATGCGTCTGGGCTTGACCGACCACCCGACTATAGTGCGGTGCTAGCATCTGGGACAAGTGTATGTAGTAACAATAACAAATCCCCTGCGGGCGGACATGTCTGATAGTGACCATGCTGGCGACATCTAGAGGAGAGAGGCGCGGTCAAGGTTATGGATGTAGGTCAAAGGTCATATGGAAAAAGCCAGCTGTGATACAGATTTTGGGGACGTGAATTACAACATCATCTAATTAATGCTTTTACTTTGTATTGTGAGATAAAAAAAAGTGACAAAAATACAAAAAAAAATGAATAAAACCAAAAAGTGATTGATTCCTGTGTGAGAGCTACACAATATTAAGGCCACTGATTTATATTGTAAAGAAATTGTGTTCCTCATTTTATGAGGGAAAACATTTGTGCAGACTACGTTTTAATTCCCCCACCCCCCACATTTATGGAGAATGTCTTTGTGCTCAAGGTACAACAGTTGTTATAGTAAATCATCTGATGGGTAGGCACCCTAGGTGCTGCATATTTCCATTTTCTGTTGTACAACCTGATCGTCCGGCTACACACACAGCGAGCGTCATGGTGTGACGTTTAGGTACAGTCGCGCTAGTGATCCTAAATAGGTACACCCAGTCTGTCAAACAGCCTTACTTCTATATAAACATCAGTGTATGTCTGTCTGCCTGTCCATTAGTGGAGGACCATGTCTCCCACGCTCAAGCGGCCCAGCGATAAAGGTCACTCCGGGTGGACTATGTGCTTGTATCTGGAGTATCTTGGAGTTCAGCACTCGTGTAAAGTGTATGTACTCAATCCAGAGTCTAAGCTGGCTAAATATCACCCTCATGCTTGTGTTGTTTTTAAGAAGAAGCTTTTTTTGTCCAATTTTACAGATGTGATGGTGAACTTGTTGACTTAAGTAGTGTGAAGGAAAAGATTGTTGATCACTTCAGTGCTGCTCTCACTGGTTGTGTATGCAGTATATATATAATATTATATACTATGTTTTCGATTTTGGAAAAGTTTTTTTATTCATGAAACATGAATCTCTTTTTTCTGCCTTCCTCCTCGCTGTCTGTTTATCTTTCTGTCTGTCCATCAAAATACCTTCTTCATTATTTAATAGAGATTTTACCAATGGTAACAATTCATTAATTTAGAACTTTCAGGCTTAGAAATGTCTGTAATTGTCTAATATTTATGATGATGATAATGCAATTTGTTTTGTGTTCCTGAAATTATTACTTAAATGTGAAAATATGCATTCTGGTAGTTGATGGCTTTTAATTATTGAGGCATATCAAGGTGATTTTTGCATGAAACAACCTTAAAGCATGGAGTACACTCAAATCATCTACCAGTTAAGGTGAAATTACTATGTACATTTTTATCAAACTTCTTTAATGCCTTATATAGACTTAAGTCATTGATAGGATTCTTCATATTTTTATTTGTCTGCAGTTTTGAAAAGAAATATCAAAAACTCTATGGCCCTGTCACGCATTGACAATTTGCAGAAGTTATGTGTATGATAAATGAAACATTGTTTTTGAAATGCTGGCATACACTAAACTACAGATGCCATTTCTCCTAATTTTGGGCTTATACATAACCTATTCATAACAAGTAAAACATACATATAACATATTATTTATCCAGAACAAATCAATGATTAAAGATACGTATCTATGTATTTGACATGTCCCAGATGACAACAGAACTTACTGAACATGTTTCTAGCCTACAGCAACCATTTAATAGTATATTGGCAGTGTTCAAGGGAATTGGTATATAAAATAGAGTTCACATGAGGAACCTGTCAGTAGTCCATGTTATCCAAGAAATAGAGGATCTAGCAAGAAGAGATTGAGATCATGACTTTCAGCGAAACTCTGTCGCACATTAAGCATTTGCTCCTTAGTGGTTAGAAATGGGTTTTGGGAACAATAGATGTTATCTTGACGTATTTCAACTGATGTATAACTTACAAGTAACAGTAATGTGAGCATGTGTACACTATTCATAACTTCTTTACAACTTATGCCTGCATATGTGGAAGGTATGAGCCATATGCTAGCTTACATTAACTTCACAAATTACGACCTATGTTAGTGTAAACCAGCGTGCTGTTAACTATACAAAACTTGCTCATAGCTTATCTGACATAAATTTTTCAGATGTATGCCAGCATATCAACCAAACTTTTCATACATTAATGTAAGCTGGCTAAATTGTCAATATGTGACTGGCCTGTTACCAACTGTGATGTCTTTTAAATTTGATAATTAAATGGCAAGAATAATTCTTGTTCACAGTAATATTAAAAAGAACTTTTGTTACTTAATTGGTACATTGAATTACTCATCGAATAAGTGCCAATATTGGATGATTTTTGAAAATTTTTGAAAATCACAGAAATATGATTCTATATCTACATTTTCTGCAACTATTACTATTACTGAAAATATGTCAAATTATACATCTTGTAACTTTCTAAAACAATGGAAATTAACCAATATTTCTATTTTTGCCTAAGTTTTTGTTTGCATTTCATTTACTGTAATAGCCTATGTAAGTTCAAATAGAAATATGGCAATATGTGATAAATTATCAAAACTGGCTGTTTATGAAATAATATGCATGAAAAACAACAAACATCTATGGAAAAAATAATCAAAATCACATTTACTACAATAGTTTAGAGTATGGCATGTTAGAAACTGAATTACTTAGAGGGGTAAATGGCAGGAGACTGAATTACTTAGAGGGGTAAATGTCAAAGACTGAATTACTTAGAGGGGTAAATGTCAAGAGACTGAATTACTTAGAGGGGTAAATGTCAAAGACTGAATTACTTAGAGGGGTAAATGTCAAAGACTGAATTACTTAGAGGGGTAAATGTCAAAGACTGAATTACTTAGAGGGGTAAATGTCAAAGACTGAATTACTTAGAGGGGTAAATGTCAAAGACTGAATTACTTAGAGGGGTAAATGTCAAGAGACTGAATTACTTTGAGGGGTAAATGTCAACAGACTGAATTACTTAGAGGGGTAAATGTCAAAGACTGAATTACTTAGAGGGGTAAATGTCAACAGACTGAATTACTTAGAGGGGTAAATGTCAAAGACTGAATTACTTAGAGGGGTAAGCAGATTGAGTTTGTGGACTTACGTTCTGGTGAGTATTACTGAATATATGGAACTTTATCATTGGGGCATAATCACTGTACATACTTAAAACCACAACAATTTACATTCCTGACACAGAAGTACACAGAGCTTTGAGAAATGGCTGATAGCTCTATTATAGTTCAATCTATTTCTAGTCTTGTCAAACACACTGGATAATGTTCGAAGTGAAATTTATTGGATTGATGACACTTATTTACATTTCAAAATTTTTAAATTATGAAAAATATGAAATTTAACAAATACTGGTTTATAAAATCTCCATATTGTTGAAAAGTGGATGAAGTGTGTAGTCCATGTCTATGTAAAGATAAGGTGTACTGTAAGGTGATAGAGCTTAGGTGATGTTCCTGTCGAGGAATGAAAGGTTATACATCCAGTGTAGTATAGTAGCTTTATTTGCAATTGACATTAAATCCTATACTTGGTGATGTCAGGCAGATACGGAGTATCATCTGAGAGTTTCAGATATATCAGTTATAGTATGGCATAAGTTGAAAATTAAAAACACATGCATAGCAGAAATAGAAGTTTACAGGGATAACATGAATAATTGCATGAAATGTAGAAATAAAGATTTTTTTTCTCTATAATTCCAAATGTCATTAGGCAAAATTACAAATCTCTCACTGTTATGCCTATATGAAGGAAGTTTTAATTTAAAAGCAAGCTACCAATATCATGCTATAGTTAGTGTCTGTTATCAACTTTTCCTTTTAAGGATTACTGTTCTAGAATAGCTGAAAGCGTTTTGACAGAGTTTGATACCTGGTAATTACTCTGGGGATGTTAAAATTGTTATATAAGTGATGGGCATGATCCACATGTTACCTGAAGCCGACATATTTCACTTATGAAAATCTCTATTTGGCTACATGCACACATGAAGTTACTTTGCTGGTCATTTAGAATTTGAAGATAGCTGTTTGTTCCCAATATCAGATTGACCAAGGATATTGATTTCTGTTTTAATCATAAAAAAAAATTATCAAAACTTGAAGAAAAATAACGTTATCACGGTCGTAAACATTTACTTTCAATGTTGTAGACTATTTGTATAGTCTCTCACTTCTCTGATTGGCCGATGCATTTTTGAGATTTGATTTTATTGGATCAATTTTAACAATAAATCATAGAAGTATTCCTTAGCATTATCCTTGAATTCTAATTATTCAAGGTTCATGCAGAATCTTAAGATCATGGCCACCATATCAGCAATCAGTTGAAATTCTTGCCAGGTAAATCTTGGTTGTCGTTCATGTATAATCACCCGACATCATCACACCAGGTTACAGGACAAGCTTAATGTATTCTTGTATTTTTGTTAAACATGATAAAACATTTATATTGTTGAAACTATAGAAGTTTAGAGTTTTAAAAAACATTCTACTATCAAACACTGGAAGTCTGCCTTATGGTCACCATTTTCCAAAGTCTTGGTGAATGGAGCATTTGAGTTGTGGGATTGGTCACTTACCTGTAGCAGTGGAGGGTTCCGTAGCGAATGAAGCATGAACATGTATGAAAGGGTGGATTATAGAGGGAATGAGATGAAAACAAGGCTGTGAAAAAATACACTTTTACAAGAGATGTTGTAGGGATAGATTTGCCACTGCAGTTTTGGAAAATGAAAAAATCCTCGCGCGCAAAAAAAAAAAAGGATTAAAAGCTTGATTGAATTTTCCTCCTTTTGTATTCACTAGTCCGGAAATGATGATTTTTTGTTGTAGAGCTTCCTTTGCTTAATCAGATCAAATGCAGTAATAGAGATGCTCCACTGTCCCTTATTTTAATGTAACAATTGAAATGCAAAAAAGCCAATATACCTGTGAAAAAAATGATGTTAATGATAGAGATTTCACAAAATAATTTTCTGCCATGTTACATTGCCTTTCAACCTTTGAAAAGTGTTGGATATTCCTTTTTTCCCTATGGTAATTGAATGACATGGATATTTCTGCTGGATTTCTCATTGTCTTCTTTTATAATACTACAAAAGACATTTATTAGTATTAGCAAAAATGCGTGAAATGCATGTACAATGTTGCAGTGTTGTGTATTATGGCACAAAATTATTTTATGAAAAATATCCAAACTCAAATGATGGTGTTCATGTTATTGTAAAACTAATAGTTGATTTATGGACAGCCATTCAGTATGAATTTTTACAGGTTGCTTAAATTAACTTCTTTATGTTGGAACTGTTTGTTAGAAATTGTAATTAAGTATTTGTATGAAGAAAACTGTATCTTCAGTTTAAATGAAGGAATATTTGTTTTACTGTACAATTTATAAATATATATGGAAAAGGGAGACAATTCCCATATTTTCTGATAAAAAAATACATTTAATTTATTTCTCTGTTGTAATTTCTTTTCTTTTTTTTTGACATTGAAAAAGTTTTTTTCCTTTTTTTTTTTTGTTTTTTTTTTCTTTGCATTTTCATTTCAAAGTATTCATCAAGATGTTTTAATATTAAAACATAACATGATCTTGTTGATAGTAACTGGCTGTTTTTAGCATAAAGTTGTCTGAATAGGATGGATGGTTGATAACAGTTCTCAATGCACAGCCCAGATGTGTTTTATGAGTTTGTAAAAAAGCTTGTTAAATTTGTTACAGGTATTGTTATTTCAATCTGATGCCCCTTCATGTTATAACTGTAGTGTTTTGTTTATGTCAAAGCTAGGTTTCTAAATTGACACTCTTTCATTAGATATTATCTTCATTTATGTGTGACCTCCTATTCCTCAAGTCTTTCTCTTGTTGGTACTATTAGTGAATAGATGGCAGTGTTTATTGATAAAAGGTTTCTTTATTATGCACTGGTTATAAAAGGGTGAAATGGCCAGAGGAAAGAGAGACTTTGGACAAAAAAATGTAGCTGTGTAATAAGACGATGCTGGTCAGGTTTTTATCAAGTTCCAGCCAAAATATTTCTCCAAGGTTGTAGTAGTTATACTAAAAGAAAATTCCAAGAAACTTCCAGTTTCTGAGCTAGATAGGAATATTGAGCTGAAATTTGGTATGTATTTGTGTTGTTTGCACAAAGTCTGTTATTAAGTAATTTTGGTTGTAGTCAGCCTTGGTCAACTAATGCCAGTCTGAAAAGTAGTAGATGATAATTCTCCAAAACACCTCTTTATTTTCATTGGATGATGGTGGGGCATAATAGCCGCTCTAACATGTCTTTTATATACTAGTTTATATTAACGATAAAGGAAGGTTCATCATAGTTTCAAAATAAGTGAAAACCAAGTAAAGTAGAAGCATATTTTGAAAAACAATGTTAAGAATTATTTGCCATGCATTTCATTTCTCTCAAAGTATGGGAATGTGCTGACCTCAAGCTTATGTCTTACACTTGAGTGCAGATACTCTTGTTTGCAGAACAGATGTAAGATTCTATTGATCACAAAGGGTATAATTCTAGAACTTCATCCTTGCAGTTTTACTCTAAAAGGTAATATGCAGTTAGCAGCTATTATTTCGGTAGTTCTTAATAAAGCATTGCTATTTCTGTCCTTGCTAATAGACATGAATTATTTCTCAATCAAAGTGGTCATATTTAGATTACAATCAGTATTTTTTCCCCAGAGAACAAACTTTTTTTTTTATTAACAAAAAAAGAGTATTTCTTTTTAATAATCAACATCAGTGAATAAATGAGATTAACTTTGTATCTCTGACCACATAAGGTCTCAGAAATGAAGGTAGTATCTAGTGATGAGTGTGTTGTTGATATTTTTACAAAGTAAAAATTACCAATCTCTGATTATCGATTAGCCATTGTGATTCTTCACCGATAATGAGTGACTTTTATCAAGGTCATTTGTTAGTAATGGGTCAGCAACTAAATCTGTTATGTGCCATACAATATAGTTTTGACTGGTTTGTTCTAAGATGGTGGACACATGATTACAATACTTGCTCATTTACTAAACATTGCTACTTCTCAAAAATGTCTGCCTTTGCAAAAAAGTTGTTAGAAAAAACACAAAATGCCTAGAATGCTGATGAAAAAATTCAAATTGTGTAACAATTAGATATATTGTTTCTGTCCTAACAATGTGATTTACATGAAGGCAATCTCGGCCTCTCCCATGATTTTAAAGGAAGAAATCTCTGGTCTAGAGGAGCTTGTGCATGGTTTTATTTTCACCTGTTCCATACATTTTGTCATGTTAACCTGATGGTAAATCTGAGATGAAGCCTAAATATTTTGTACATACATGTAACATGCCACCAGTCTTGTTCAGACCAGTCACATTCTGACTTTCCATCTTGCTTATGAACACTTTGGGTGCATATCATTTTTCTCACTGCATGCTTAGTGTGTGGGAGAGAGCGGTCACTGTGACTTGTTTACTACACTCGCTCGGTCAGTAGACAGATTGTGTGTGTGAGAGCAGTCAATGTGACTTGTATACTACACTCGGTCAGCCAGTGGACATCTTGTGTGTGTGGGAGAGAGTGGTCAGCGACTGGTATACTATACTTGGCCAGTCAGTAGACAGCTTGTGTGTGTGGGAGAGAGTGGTCAGTGACTGGTATTCTATACTTGGTCAGTCAGTAGACAGCTTGTGTGTGTGGAAGAGAGTGGTCAGTAACTTGTATACTAGTCACATGGTCGGTCCTTAAAAAACGTGTGAAAGAGAGGGAGAGAGCGGTCAGTGACTTGTATACTACACTTGGTCAGTCAGCAGACAGCTTGTGTGTGTGTGAGATTGGTTAGTGACTTGAAAACTACACTTGGTCAGTCAGAAGACACCTTGTGTGTGAAAGAGATAGCAGTCACTACAATTGCTCAGCTTGAAGACAGCTCTTGTGTATTACATTCAGTCTGTCACTGTCAGTCAGTGATTTGTACACTATACTGGGTCTTTCAGAAGACAGAATGCGTTTTAGGGAGAGCAGTCAATGTGACTTGTATATTACTTGCTTGCTTGGTCAGTAGGCAGACTGTGTGGGATAGAGAGAGCAGTCACTATGACTGGTGTATTATTACTCTCACTTGGTCAGTAGACAGACTGTGTTGGATAGAGAGAGCAGTCACTATGACTGGTGTATTATTACTCTCACTTGGTCAGTAGGCAGACTGTGTTGGATAGAGAGTGCAGTCACTATGACTGGTGTATTACTCTCACTTGGTCAGTAGGCAAACTATGTCTTTTGGAGAAAGAGAGAGCAGTCACTATGACTGGTGTCTGTAGACAGCTTGTGCGTAAGGGAGAGAGAGAGCGGTCAGTGACTTGTATGCTACACTTGATCGTTCAGTAGACAGGTAGTGTATGGAGGTGAGAGTGCAATTACTGACCAGTATATAACGCTGTGTCACTACAAACATAATGTATGTAGAAAAATGTCACTTTGACCTGTATTTTACACATGCTCAGAGCAGAATCTATGGGAGAGCGCAGTAACTATGACCTATATTACACAAAACTTGCTTGTTCACTTCAGACAGCTTGTTGGAAGAGTGATGGTCAGTGTGTAACACTCGCCTAGTCACTGCAGAACAGTTGTATAGAAGTCAAGGGTCACTGACCTGTACATAACACTTGCTTGGTCACAGAAGACAGCTTGTGTGTGTATGTGCTGTAAGAGGGAGAGAGAATAATTCAAATCTGATTTTAAAAAAATATTGTGTTAGTTGAGTGTTTAGTAAGTGGGATGTTGTTTGATAATTTGAACAGCCTGGGCAAGTGACATTGTGTCCAGTACTTGTAACAGCCTGGGAACAAGGGATGGTGAAAAGCTTGGATGTGAGGGAAATTGTCTAGTAGCTGAAACTGCAATTGGGTTTGAGGGAGCTGTAACATCCTGTACGTGAGGGTATCCAGCAGCTTCAACAGTCTGGGTGAGGGAATGAGTCAAGTACATTTAACAGCCTGGATATAAGGGAATCTGTTCAGTAGCTGTAACAACATTAACCTTGGTGAGGGAATGTGTCAAGTAATTGTAACAGCCAGGATGTAAGAATTATGTCCAGTGGATGTAACGGCCAGAATTTGAGGGAATGGGTTTGTGAGCTGTAAAAGTAGCTGTAACAATCTGGATGTGAGGAAATGTGTCCAGTAGATGTAACAGCTTGGGTGTGAGGGAATGTGTCCAATACCTGTAACAGCCTAGATGTGAGCCAATGTGCCCAGTAGCAACAAGAGCTGGCCCAGCTGTATGAGAATGAGTGTCATCACATGATGAATGGTCTCTCCTTGTGTATCTACATATAAACTATTTTTATTTATAATTAATGGCAAGCAGAGACAGAGCCCTCTGCTGAAGATTAAAATATAAGTAACTTATTGCAAGATGTTCATCTTTTTTACAACCCCCTCTACACCGTTTGTAAATTTTCTTCTACTCCTTCCAAATAGCTGCTTAGAATTCAACCGAAATTTTTGCAGGAGGAAATCGATGATCCAGTGTTCAGTAGATGAAATGTGTTGCTTGCTTATCCTACTCCTGCAGTAGGACTGCATGTACAAATTGTTATTAATATCACAGTGGGCAAGAATTAAGCTGATCAATTTGTTATTCAAGTAACCATCTTGGATTTGACAGTTAAAGATCAAGAATTTTCAAATTTTATAAAATAAAGAGGAAAACCAAAGGAAAGAAAAAGGCCAAATAAACATCAAACAGAGATGGCCACAAAAATCCGTCTGGAATCTTACATTTTTTTTCCAGTTATAAAATCAGAAATGACGAGGGACCAAGGGGAACCTACATGCAAATTTGGGAATGATCAATCCAGTTCTCTTGCAGTAGAAGTAACAATACTTCATGATCAGAATCCAAGATGGTTGCCTGACTGTTTTTTTTTTTTTTTTGTTTGGATCAGTCACAAAATCTAAATAGTTCATTTTTTGGATCAGTCAAAAAATCAAAAAGGTACAACTTAAGGGTAAGGGAAACCTTAATATGAAGTTTGAAAGAGAACTTTCCAAAACTTCTTAGATGACAGCTTCATTTGTCAAAATCAAAGATAGCAGCTTGTGGTTGGTACCAGTATCCATATCCAGACAAGTTGGTGCTATCTGTATCCATATCGGAATAAATGCTGCAATCTGTATCAACAGTCAAGTTGGTTCTACCTGCAACAGCAGCCAGACTAAATGATAGTACCTGTATCCCTTACCAGACTGGATGGTGCTATCTGTGTCTTTAGCAAAACTAGCTAGATGGTGCTACATGTACCCATTTCCACAGCCAGACTCGATGTTATACATGTATCCATTTCCACAGCCAGACTAGATGGCAGTACATGTATCTGTTTCCACAGCCAGACTCGATGTTATACATGTATCCATTTCCACAGCCAGACTAGATGGCAGTACATGTATCTGTTTCCACAGCCAGACTAGATGTTATACATGTATCCATTTCCACAGCCAGACTAGATGGCAGTACATGTATCTGTTTCCACAGCCAGACTAGATGTTATACATGTATCTGTTTCCACAGCCAGACTAGATGGTAGTACAAGTATCTGTTTCCACAGCCAGACTAGATGGTAGTACAAGTATCTGTTTCCACAGCCAGACTAGATGTTAGTACATGTATCTGTTTCCACAGCCAGACTAGATGGTAGTACCAGTTACCACAACCAGACTAGATGGTAGTACCCATTACCACAACCAGACTAGATGATAGTACCCGTTACCACAACCAGACTAGATGGTAGTACCCGTTACCACAACCAGACTAGATGATAGTACCCATTTCCTCAACCAGACTAGATGATAGTACCCGTTTCCACAACCAGACTAGATGGTAGTACCTGTTTCCAAGCCAGACTAGATGGTAGTACCCCTTTCCACAAGCAGACTAGATGATAGTACCCATTTCCACAACCAGACTAGATGATAGTAACCGTTACAACAACCAGACTAGATGGTAGTACCCGTTACCACAACCAGATGATATGATAGTACTATAGTTCTATAGCCTGACAATGTTATGTTACCTGTATCAATAACAATAAACTAGATGGCAGTACCTATGTCAACGGCCACACAAGATGGTGCTACCTGCATCAACAGCCACACACGGTGGTGCTACCTGTATCAACATCCAGACAAAATGGTGCTACCTGCATCAACAGCCACACAAGATGGTGCTACCTGTATCAACAGCCAGAATATATGGTGCTACCAATATCAACAGCCACACCAAATGGTGCTACCTGTATCAACAGCCAGAATATATGGTGCTACCAATATCAACAGCCACACCAAATGGTGCTACCTGTATCAACAGCCACACACGGTGGTGCTACCTGTATCAACATCATCCAGACAAAAATGGTGCTACCTGCGTCAACAGCCATACATGACGGTGCTACCTGTATTCAGTCAGACTGGATAGTTCCCTACTGTATATAATCCATGTAATGACAAAAGAACAAAGCATCATCTATAAATTCAAATTTTATTTTTTGCTATGATTGCTGAAGAGACATGTTGCAGATAATTCCTTAACTGTCCAGAAAATATGTAGTTTGTCCCAGCTTTACATAGCTAAAGGTACAGTGTATCATATTGTACACAAGTTTATGGTGGAAATCATATAACAAAGGACCAAAAAAACACTTCTTTAAAATTCTGTAACTTGAATGCGTAAACATAAAATCTAAAGAAAAAGAAGTTAAGTTCAATTGTGATGCTCAAGATTTCTCAAAATGTATTCTGTCATCAGATAGCAATGTTAAAAAATCTTGCAAATGACCTTCATAAGTAATTTCTAAAGAGAAATTACTGCATGGTAAGATGACAAGTACACATGTATGATAAAAGTCCTGATCAGCACTGTAACAGTAGCTGAATTTCATGTTCCAAATTTTTTCACTTTGAGAGTAGATGGCAGGTTGTCATTGATTGCAGCAGGTGGTCGTTCCACAGTAATGAGCCAGTCATCACTGAGGGCATCCATGTGTAAGATAAACTGAAAGAGTAGCAAAAAAAATATTTAAGTCATATGCCCATGTGATATGAAGCTTATGCCTGGTAATATGGCCGCCCACATCTAACACAGTAGAAATGCCAGCAGATGCTATATCAATGATCTATCATAATCCCTGCTTTGGGATAAAGATTATATGTTGGCCCTCCTGAGTCAATACATAATTAATATAGCTAGATTATCATATACAGGATTATTAATCAGTATCATTGAAAGTGACAATATGTCCAGTCTATTCATCCTATGGTGTCTATCTGTCCAAGACTTACCCAGTCACCTACTATTTCCTATCAAAAAGCCCATTAGCACCTACTTCCACTTAGGAAAATTACCAAGAAATGCTATTTTATTACCCCAGTAATATGACAGCTTTACAACTATCTTTCAACTCTACCATATAATAATACATGTACTACTCTAAAAACTTGAAAACAAGCTGACCTCAAAAAATAAGCCCATCCTGAAAATAAACCTATAGATTCTTTTTAAATAAACCTGAATTTGCTTAATATTAATGAAAATAAGATGTGTCTTATTCTAAAGTTTTTGGGATATCTTGTTTAACACTACAGTCAAACTTTTCCTGGGAACCACTCAAATGGACAGAAAAAAATGGCCTTTATGGTAGGTAAACTTTATTACTAACAAATTCATTACACAGGGATATATATAAGTAGCCTTTTTATACAGGTGGCTTAAACACAAGTTTGACTATTATAGCTAAAATTGATATAGGTATGCCATCATTCAACAACACACACTCACAAAATCTGTTCATAGTTCTTTTGTTTCCAATTGGCCAGTGGAGTTGCATCATGATAGATTCTGTGAAAGACCACAGAAAATTCTGTGTTTTGTGTTTATTTAAGGAATACTCTATATTTTTAGGTTAAGAGATCATTGAACTTAAAATACTAGTAAAAGTCCTACCTTGTATTTTTTACATATACTGAGTGGATGGCTGCTCTCATCAGTGTCCTCTCTATCCACTGCCTTTTTGTCACTGTCCTGTTTTCCTGACCCTTTCTTCCACATTTTGGACTCTTCAATGGGAAATGGCTGCAGTAAGAAAAGATTAGAAAAATTAAATGTATATTCTTCTAACACTTCGATTTATAACAAAGAATGTTGTGGCAATTAGGACTTTCAAGCACAAAAATGATTAAATATGGCACCATCAAATTATTTCATAAGTTCCATACCCAGTGTTATGCATTAAAAGTACCCCCTGCAATAATTATCAGGATACTTTTTATGCAGGAAGTAAATTTATGTATTACATCACTAACAGTGGACCACAATAAATAGAACAGCTTAACAAAGAGCTCTTTCATTAAATTCTGTTACGTTCTTTTCAGGAAAATAAATATGAATGTTCATGATAGAATAGAGTTATAGTCAAAGTATAAAAAAATTTCTGCCTACCTTGGTTTTGTCTAGGACATACAGTGTCTGCTCATCATGGAGGAAGATTTTGTGTGGATATTGAGATTGAAAAAATATATGATTGATTTTACTGTGTCGCTTCTTCCAATGGTAAGGAAACTTGGTGGAGTTAGTTTTGCTCCATTCAGAATATTCTCGCTCTGCTACGTCAAATTCATACACCTGTAAAAAATGTAATTGTGTAATCAGGTGATCATATTGGAATTTTTTTATCTGCACCGAATTCATGAACACTTCTGAGGGATGTCATGATGATCATTAGTATCAGTGTTTAAAGTTCAAGAACATCAGACTACAAATAAACAAGTTATCTGTGAAAATGTAATAAAATGGTAAGTTTTTATCATCTAAAGTCCAATAACTTTGTAATAATATTGGCAAATTTTATTGGTAATCGGGGCACTAAAATATTTTTTTGGGGTTACAGTTCCAAAAGAATAACAAATGACAATTACAATATCATGATGCAATTTCCATCAACATCTGGATTTGAAATTAATTACATTTCAAATACTCAGACAGTATGATTGAAATAGTTCAGGATTTCAAAACATTCATAGATGTGTACCGCTTGATTTTCCAAAATTAAAATGGGGTAGGGAAAAGTCAAGAAGTGCTGAAGTTTTAAGTATTACGTAGAATTTTATGCGGAAAATCAGAAACTCGAGTAAAATTTTAGAGTTTTGAAATGTATGTATGTAACTATTCCTTGGGTTAGCACTAAACATATTTTGAGATCATCATGAGGCTGTACAAGGTAAATATTTATTTGTAAATGTGGATGTGAGATATGTACCATTTGGTCAGCATACACAGTCAACAGCTCCTGACCAGATAAGGTGAAGGCCATGGCCGTTACTTGGCAACTGTATTGTGGCAGCTGGCACAAAACCTATAAAAACAAACCAAACCATCCACACATATAAACCATTTTCAGTTATTTTTGTGAAGTAATTTTATAAAGTAATTAAGTTTGAAATATGAATGTATAGTTAAAAATGTGCACGTAAACTGTTCCTAGGTTGCGATAAGGTAGGCAATCAGATGTTGGTTTACACATGGTCAGCAGTCTTTATTGATCTATAGCTAATGTTACTTGTAGTTAATTATCCAAATACTAGTGCACAGGTCAGCATAGATAGGGCTATGTGAATTGTGTGTGGTCGGTGTGGCGGTGCTCATCTGTGTGGTGGTGCCTTATGCAACATAATGTAACACTTGTTTGTTCCATCATATTTAAAATCTAGCTAAATATGGTCTACCCTACTGACCTTCATCTGTCACTAAGTATAAAAGAAAGCCCTACCATGGGCATAATTGTCACTCCTCATACATACTCCTGTATGTATACACTTATCAAACTACACTGATACATGGAAACGGAACAGGACTTTGATACTACAAAACTACACAGAAGCATTACCCTTCACATATCCTACAAAATTCAACATTCCATTCTGATTCTGCAGAGATATTTGTGTATTAATATTTACAATGCTGAGAATATTAGCCCTGGTAAATCTTCTTCTTCAGTCATATAAAGCTCATATGTAAACAGAAAGCCGATCTATGATATTTACATACAAACAGAAAGTTGATCTACCTTATTTCACATGTACAAATAAAAGACTGATTGTTATGATCACAATTTGACTGCCTACATGTGTAAATATATTTTTTCATTCATTGCATGCCTATTTATTAAACGGTTTTGCATAAAAGTGATCTTTTACTCATATAATCCACACCTTTACATCAGTCACATGACAATATATTTTGTTTAAATGCTAAAAATTACTTTAATGACGTGTTACTCCAGTCAAGACAGACACATAATTATTCATAAATCACTTTGTTAATACACGGAAATGTAAACTTGATGTCATAATTTTTTAACAATGTACTAACCTGTTTTTCAATGATATCATAAATTGTAACATTTCTCCCACTATCACCAACAGCAACCAGGTGATCAGCTGGACATAGACACATCATGGTGATGCTGTCAACTTGGTCTGAAACAGATTTCAATTGATCAAATGATTAAATTAAACCATACTTATCTGGTGTTGAGTCTGCCATATATATTTTTGATAAAGCACTCTGGTAAAATTGTCTAGAAACAGCATTATCTCCCTTGGTTTTGTTGGCGGGCCACCATATCTGGTACTTATAAAGCACTCTGGTATAAAAAGAGTCAGTGTTTACCTTTGGATTTGTGGAAGGTGTGATCGGTTTTGACAAGACCGTTTTCCACACAGAGTATCTGGACATTCCCACAGACTGTAGCTGTGACAATGGTACCTCCATCGGTGGACACCACCATATGATGGGCAGGAAGCGGTATTTGGGAATCATCCGATGCCCACATCTTGAGCTTCTGTATTGACACACTAGGATTAATCAGTTCTTTATTTTCCTGGGAAAAAAAGAATGAAATTTCATCTGAACATGCGTATGACCATTCCTTCATTATCTGAAAAGTTTATCATTTTCCTTTATTTTCTTATATTTCTTTTATGGTTAAATCTTTAGCAGTTTTACCAAAAGTCTGAGGTAAACACTATAAACTTTGTAAACATGTCACGTGACAGACCATACTTTTTTGCATTAATCTTATTTTCAGATCTCTATTTTTGGCAGTTTTATTCCATCTTTAAGAATAACAAAATAAAAAAAACCCAACAAAATAACAAATTTAACAGTACTTTTACTCTGCTTAAGTCTCCTATTTATCCAGTAATAAGCACTCAGGCCAATACGTTACTTTTCACATAAAGCTAGGTTTTCTCAGGACAATGAAATTGGTAGATAAATTTAAATTTAAGATAACCTACATAATCTTCAGTTTAACGCCTAATTTCTAGTTGAAAATTCAATCCCATGATTTAAAACTGCATGTACAATTCATAATCTCAGATGTTATATCAAAAAGAAATCAAGAATGTAAGCAGCACTTTTTTTTCCAAGAACTCTTTTTTACATTTTTAAATTTTATTTCATTGACTCATCTAACATAAATGTAAATAACTTGCGATAAGAGAAATAAGAAAACAGGTCCAGAGCATTCCCTAACTCCCGAACACATTTACAGCTAGGGAATAGAAAGACATCCTAATTCAGGTTTTTCACCAGCCAAGTTTGTATATGTCTGTTCTTAAAGATTGATAACTATCATATAAGTCCAGTTAATTAGAAATCCTTACTATGACCAGTCTGTAGGCTCGTATGGAATCCTGATCTGAGAAAGCTATCAAGTTGCCATGGGAACTGATAGCAAAACAGACAATAGCCTCACTAGATTTGTTCTTTAACTGAACTAGCTTCAATGGGTTGGACTGTAGCGGTAAAACTTCACCATCTATTTCTGAAAAACACAAGAAAAAATTAAGTTTTTTTTTACTTTGTCTTCTCTGTTGTTCTACAGCCATTACAACGTACAATGGAAGAAATATAGGTAGTCTATGAAGAGAGATCACCAAACACAAAACTTTCTTTAACAACATTTATAATAAATCTGCAGTAAGCTCTATATTTTCCAATGAAAGGAACCCAAAAATCCTTATGTGACGCTTGGATAAAAAAACCAACGGAAATAGCTGGATTCAAGAAGAATCATATCATACACAGATAACTTTAGCTTGTAATGCTAATACCTAGTTTCGACATAAATTCATATGGTGTTTCTGGCCAGATCTAGTTACCAGATCATATCATCAGCATACATACGTGATGTTTTGTTTGTATGTCCAAGTCTCCAAACCTCAAGATAGTCATTGTACTTAAGGACAATCATCTCTGCTTCTTTGGCCACTTGTACCATGGACTTCTGGAAAATCATATTTTTTATCATTTTACAATTTGCTTTCACTCTATTAATTTTATTTTGCAGAATGAATTAATTGAGAATACATACCTAATTATATTAATTAAATAAGATGAATATCTGCTTGGTTTATAGGCAATGTATTGGTATTAAGTTTACCCACATATCATATTCAGTAAAATCCCAACACAATGCTATATTTGTATTTCACAGCTCTTTGATAGGATCCCCTCACTCCACTCCACTTTGAATAAGAATCAATCTGTTGACTACCTGGGCTTGTAATTCAGGATAAATATGGTGACATTATAAGGACATAAAACAGTTACTTGATAACATTATTTCCTTTTCCATACTTATAAATAGGACTGAAGGTGCTTTTCAGCTACATTTTATGTGAGATAAATCAGTGAGACTGTCTGTACCACAACTCCAAGTCTCAAACTCAGAGATACAAGATGAGACACAGTACTGAACAAACCAAACATAATTATACAAATTCATACAACACATTATTCAAATTATTTCATAATTATAAATGTGATTTAAAACTAGAAACAATCTGATATTAACTTGTGAAATGTAAATTTCTACTGAAATTTACAGTAATACCTTCTAATGGTACTGTTATATATGCTATCAATAACCTTAACCAGGCTTTGATGGTCTACAAACACGGCAGAAAGCAGAGCTATAAAAACCTGTGTGTTCACTGACACGCTACAGAGACTAACAAAGGATCTCGCAGTCCAATCAGGCAGAGGCCGATCGTATTGGTATTTACAAGACAAGTTGCCACAACAAAACTGCAGAATAATGCAAGGGGCATACTGCGGGGGTACACTGCAAGGAACGCCCATTTCACTGCGGTATCATACTTCAATGTACTCACGTGTGGGATGGCATTCAGTTTGCGCCAGATTTTTTTCTTTCCGAAGTGTAATCTGTACACTATGAGGTTGGTATCCACACCTGTAAACAAACACTGAATTTATTTTCCTGTAAACAAACGCTTAAGTTATTTACATGTAAACAAACACTTAACCTATTTACATGTTAACATACTTAAAATATATATGCCTGTGGTATTTAATGTGCATCAATACATTCACCTTCAAGCTAAAACACTGCTTGGAAATTTTGCTTGAACTTGGTTGAGCAAGGAACAGGTAAACTTGGAGTCAAGCATTTGATCCTCCTGTGGAAGCACAATATATCTCCATTTTACATATGTAAACACTCAACAAGAAGAGAGCTATCCACAATTGTGGAGCATAATGTTATGATACTAAGGGGTAAATATGAACCAAATCTATCTAGCTTTGTACTGGTGAAGTGAGTTGTCAGTTTAACATTTTTATTTTGTTCTCTTTACAGAAATAGAGAACTGACATATGACATTAATCCTGAATGGGATGTGATGCTAAATGGCAGGAAACAGTGTGAAAGGTGTGACATCAAATCTAAAGAGTATAAAAAAGCAAAGAAAACAGAATCAAATCTGAACGATGCTTACCTCCTGATACAATGTGATTGTTGGCGAGGGCAAGACTACGCACATCATGGGTATGTCTGAAGTGTGCTGAGGACTTGACCCACAACTTCCAGTCACTGTCCTTCTGTGTGGTGGTGTACTCAAACTGGACAACAGTTGAGTCCACTCCGGACGATAGTACCGATGTCTCTGACTGATAACAGAAAATATTCACAGCTTAAACTATTATACATCACAACACCAGTTAAAGTAGCACTTCATAGAAAAACAAAAAAATTGGAGATAAACATAGGTACGGTATCTTAAACACAAGACTTATTAAATATATTGTCAATTCTGTTACATCAACAACTGTTGAATACCTAAATATGTTAACACTAGAGACATCATTTGCATATCATCATATTTATAACAATCAACCTGTTAAAAATGTGTAAGTAAAATGGGATACAACAGACAGATTTGTGATATTCACAGCCAGCTGACCACTAACACCCAGGAGCAATATAGTCCATCAAAGCCACCCACTGTCACATGAAATCATTCAGTTTACATTTCCAAGAAAGGATTCCTATAGACAAGATAGATTCTATTCCATCATTACTAATTTCATCTCTTTACACTACAGATTTATGCTATAGTGAGACAACGGTGCCAAAAATGCATTTTTTAAAAATAATTTCAACAGCAACAGATACTGATGGGCTTATTACCAGAAATTGTCTTATAGATTAATGAATACATAAAATCAGAATATAGGAGATACACTGATGTAGATATTGAATGTTTGCTGTCTGGAAACAGAAAAATTTCGGGATGTCCTTGATGTGCATAAACATACTACAGACAGCATATTTATAAAATATTGGGGAATGATGCATATTCTTGAAATCAGCAAATCAGCATCAATTTCAATCAATGAGACATCAAATCTATTCCTAATCAGAGGAGTAACAGTTTCATAAGGATTGTATAATCAGCAACAAAGTATTATTATTCTGATACTGAATTATATACTAATAATCGATCATTAGAAAATAATTTAAAATATATAATAAACATTAACAATTCAATTTCAACATTATATTACCATATTTATCCAGCAATGTGCCCACCCATGTATCAATATATATATAACTGCTCAGTAATATGAAAACACAGTGTTTTTATTTTGTTCTACAGTAAGACCACCCAGTAACTGAAGTAAAGTGTGGCTGACCCCCTGGGATTCTTTCAGGATAAATTCTGTATGAGATATGCATTTTTCAGGAAACTTAAAAAGGAAGCTTACGTTGTCTACACACAGACAGAACACATCAGCCTTGTGACTGAGGAAGGCCTGAAATCAAAAAAAAAAAAAAAAAACAGAAATATCACATATATTCTTACTTATTCAGTAGCAGATTTAGATAGGTAAAAAACATACATACAAGTTCTTACTTATTCAGTTGCAGAGTAATATAGGTAAAAAACATACATACATGAACATTATAGAATAACATGGAATACAGCATCATACCAACATATAGTATAAATAAATCACTTTGTCGGTAAAAAGTTAAATACTGTGTAGATAATATGATAATGATGGAAGTCTTTAACTCCTTTATCTATAAATGCCAATATAATCTTTATTTGATTTTAGTTAAGTGTAACAAAATAAAATGAATATCACATATCATTCATTTTAACAGGAACATGCCGACATAACAAGAAAATCTTTATTCATGATTTCAAAATTCATGAACCAAAGGCAAAATATAAGCAACAAACAGATCACCAGTGACCTTAGAAAAAGTACAAGGAGAATAATACCAAGAGTTCTCAAGGTAAAGAGTCTTAGATCTGCTTCACCAACGACACATTTCAAATAAATCTTCGTCAGACTAAGTAGTTAAGTTATGCCATATTCTCAAATGAGACTTCTTATCCAAATTTTTTATCACCATATTGCTGTAAATGTTTGCAGGATCTAAACTTCTTTTTTTTATTTATCAAAAATACAACATGAACCTACATAAGAAGGCAATGTGGATTACATTAAAACCACACATCCTCTACAGGCACACATGTTGTGTAACATGTATACAGGTACCTGATGATGTAAAGATTTGGTATGTTTTCTTACTTTTATCAGGGTGCCCTGTTCCCCATTCCAGAAAGAGGTTTTCCCTCGGGAATCTCCACTCACAATCGTCATATCGCTAAAATAAAATAAAGAGCAATTTTTGTAAGTTTCACGGAAATTAGAAAGATCTACAGTTATACAATCTGTTTCATACATCAAAATTTTATTCCTACATAATCCAAGAGTCAATTAATTAATATGTGTGACCGGTGATTTATTTTATAGCATTTATTTGTTACTTGTCAAACCTGTCTTAAAGGCCACCTTTATACAAAGGCCACTTGTCTATAAAGGTTACTTTTTTGGGGTTTCCTATGTAAAAATACAATTCCCGAAAACAATTCCATACCTAGTGATAGCCAGGCACCAAACAATGGTTTCTTTGTTTTTCTCCTGTCGTCCCAGAGTGAGACGCTGGTAGGCGTGGCCTGACCGCACACTCCATAACCGAATATTATCAATGCCCCCTGTTACTATGGTTTCTCCAGCAGAGTGCCAGGCTATACAAAGTATGCGACCTAAAATGAAAAAGGTAAATGAAAAAAATCAAAGTGTGAAAAAAACTGCTACATCATTTACCTTAATGTTTCAAATGTACTCATTTAAGTTTTCAACATTTTGCCTAATCTTGTTTACAATTCTGTATATACATCATGATTGAAGGTGATAAATTCTAAAACATGTTTGAAGGGCAAGCTCATCAGGAGGGAGCATGAAGCACGCAGTGTATTCTACATATCACATTGTTGTCCATAAGTCATTCGTGATGTCTTGTTCGTTTCACAGAATTCAAATAATGAAGTAGACATATTGTCATTTCAACAGAAAAACAATAAATTAGGAATGCCATTCAATCTCATAACAATCTCAAGAGGGGAATGACTGTCTTAGTATTTGCTTGATATATCCTCCTATGAGTGGACATGGTCATTTCGAGGGTCTTCTTGTAGCAGCTGGTGGTTACTTTACTGAAAACCTTGTGAGAGGCCCACCACATCCTGTACACACTAAACAGGATAAAGTGTCTTGCCCAAGGATATTAGCATCGCAGCAAAGAACAATCTTTGATCTCATAACATCTTTTTAACATACATCCTTATGTTTCTGTGTCACAATAACATAGCATACCTCTTCATGTTCCTGTGTCACAATAACGTAGCATACCTCCTGAAGTTTCTGTGTCACAATAACATAACATACATCCTTAAGTTCCTGTGTCACAATCAGGTAACATGCATCCTTATGTTTCTTTGTCACAATAAGGTAACATGATTCTATGTTTCAATAAGGTAACATACATCCTTAAGTTTCTGTGTCACAATGAGGTTACATACATCCTCATGTTTCTATGTCACAATAAGGTAACATACATCCTTAAGTTTCTGTGTCACAATGAGGTAACATACATCCTTATGTTTCTATGTCACAATAAGGTAACATATATCCTTAAGGTTCTGTATCACAAAAAAGTAACTTACACCCTTAAGTCTTCATGTCACACTCAGCTAAATTACATCCTGAAGTCTCCATATCACAATAAGGTTACATGCCTCCATAAGTGACAGAATACTTACTCTCTTGTTTATCAAAAGATCGCTTGAATTCCAGTGAGTTATTTTCTGTATCAAAGATGACCACACAACCATCTTCTGTCCCTGCCTGAAAATTAAACAACTCAAACATGAATATCTGTTATTTCAGTACAACCTTTACCAATTTGTACTTAATAAATACAACTTTGCTTTGATACATTATTTCTAATACAATGCACCAATGTTTTTTCCATATAGTCAAACTTGGAACTCTGTTATATCAAAGATACTGTTACAGCTATGAGTTTCAAATTATGAAGTACTTTTGAAACTAATCTTTTTAAGAAATCAAGCAATGGTGACTAATAGAACAGGCTGATTTAGTGTATGCTTCCAGCATTCAAATTTTGTTAACATTTCCCAATTTCTCAGACTATTTCTTTATATTTAAAAAAATCAGTATTGATGGCATAGTTTTGACTAAATAGAAGAATACAAAAAATACCACTGTATGGACGATGAATAGATAAAGAATAGTTTTTCTACCAGTTCATTATCATGAGCCAAATGGGTGTTTACAAGGGTGACCTCCCTTTCATTGTTTTGATGTTATTTCTGAATTTCCTTTGGAAATTTGAGAGTTTTGAACTCAACTAAATATATTTGTAATACTTACTGCCAGTAGTTTTCCAGTAGGATCTGAAGTAAGGCACCAGATGGGACCAGCATTAGAAGTAGCAATGGCCTGAAAAAGAAACTCTCAGGTATAGGATTGTTTTAATTCTGTTAAATCTTATTTGATAACAAGGCATCACAAAGGTCAAGGAAACAAATCCCATTGCTATTTAACCTTGATTGATGTGCAACAAAAGATGGCTAAGTGAGTGAAGTTTGATCAGAACCCCCTAGGAATGAAGACACCAGAGCACAGACTAGGATTTCCTGAAAAATTCACTGGTGATCTTTATCTTGACACTTTAATGCTAAAACTTGAACTCTTCTGGGAAAACATAGTCATTTTTAGATGTGTGCAGTTCTACTGAAACAAGGAATAAAGTGACAGAGTGGTGACAAGAATTTCTTAAAAATAGAAATGGTGACACATATCCTACAACAAAAACACTCGAATTCATCCAGAATGTTATGATCCCTACATAAATGTGTGAAGTTTGATCAAAATCCTGCAAGAAGTGATGCATCTAAAGTTCAGACACTAGGGCATTACATAAATAAAATACAGTCATAGTTCAACTTTTAATTGTTTACCATTCTTGGTAAACAAGCCAACAAAAATTTATTAATAGCTTCAGATGACAAAGTTCCAACAAATGCTAAAATACAACAACGCCCAGTGGTAAGCCTGCCTCCCTACTTTGAGTCAAAGTATGAAGTTTTTTTTATATGTTTGGTGAGTCTGAATTATTCTGACTGTCTATCATCTTTTTTGTATTGCTCTGGAGTCAATGAATATCAGAATTCCGGCCCTATAAAAAGTGAGTAAAATTAGTGACCCATGCCTTGGTCGACATTCAAATGATAATTGTGGGAAAAAAAATGTCTTTCCATAATCATTGTTTGCATGCTGACCCTGGTGTGAATCACTTTTTTAATTTCACTCACTTTTTGTTGGGCCATAGTTCTGTCTTTCATTGACTCTAGTTTGATACTTCAGTATAATTTGGACTACACCTCGGCTTACTACAGCCAGAAAAAAAGTTAGTACTACTATGTCTTGCTTTTCCCCCAGGAAATTAAACAGCCTTATAATCTGTTCCCCGCAGAAATTACTATAAAATGAACTGGTTGTATATTTTATATCTACCTTAGGTTGAAGTCTTAGTAGGTCAAACTCTGTGATGTATCCATCCAGTCCAGCTGTAAAAAGACGCTCACCCTGCCAGCAGAGTGCTTCTACAGACTTTCCTTCTACCCCTGGTATCACCTAAAACCAAAAATAAAGTATATTGCAAACACCCTGAAACATGTATATTGATAAAATATACAAGCACATGATTAGAGATCAGACATTCCACAGCTTCAATATAATGAACTAGAAAATATCTATAACAATCCAATCAGCTGTATGGTATGATACCATTATGTAAATTTGAACAAAACGTTTTAAGAGTTTCTCAAGATATGACACTGATTCAGGAGGGTATACAGTGTGACTGGGCGTATGAACATGGGTAACATATAATATATGCCTCCAACCTCTCTCTCCTAACATCTTCATTCTTTCCCACAATTATAATGACATGGAACATTAAAAGTTTAATTAAAACACTGGTAAGAAAGTATGATATCCACAAACTGTGTATTGCATAGTATATGATAAGTAATATATTGGATATTTCACACTTTTTATTATTCTACATGTGAAATGACCACTTTGTATCAGGCCATGAAATGTTTTTGTAACTTAACAAAAATTTAAAGAAGATTTGAAGTTGAATATACCCAAAAAGAAGCATATTGGAAACTTGTAAGTCTGTATGAAAATCCATTTCTTCATGAAAGCACACAATGGTACATGTGTATATATGAAGTTTTATCAACCACTTGCTAGTTTTGAAATCTCACAATTAAAGATAAAAACATTACAAACATTAGCAAAACAGATCAACAAAAATGCTTCCTTTGTAAAACATGTTGTACATGTATATATAGATTTAGCTTGCAGATAGCAATCAACTCTATGAATCATTCCCTTTACATATGAACAATATATATTGAAAAGATATTTGTCAAATTTGATGACTATCATTTCAAACGCCATCGATATACCAGGTCATCATACCTTCTCCTGAAACCAGTGATCTCTAGAACTCCACAGCTCTAGTGTACCATCAGACCTGTGCAAAGAATAATACTGATATTACATTCCTGGTACTGTGCTTTGTAATTCAGTACTTAACAATGGATTGGCCAAGCAATAGGAACTTGACAAACATTATGGAAAGCATATAGCAGATACAACTACCCACATCAAATTTGATCCTTTTTGACTATATACATACACAATTTTAATAATGATTTTTTCAAACAAGCATACAAACATTATATAATTTACTTTATAAAGATGTAAATGTAACACTTAAATCAAATGTATTACTTTTTCAATTACTTCTTTGATTAATTCTGAAATAAAGTAAATATCATGAGAACAATTGTTTTGTTCTTTTAAAGGATTGTATTCACATGCACTGACCTAGATACTGCAAGCTTCTCTGCATCCTTGTTATAGGAAATACAATGGATTGCCTTTGGTTGGTACTCAAAAAATCGGACATGATGAACTCGGAATTCCCCCATTATTCACTCATTGATGTTGACGCATGCTGTTCCTGTTATTGTATTAAACATTTAGTAAGCATATTGTTCTCATAAAGCTCCCACTCTAGGAGTGGTCAACAGCACAATGATATAATATGAAAGAGTGACAAAAACACCCTTCCCCTACAGGCCTTAAACTAGCGACTTTTCGGTCTCCAGCTGGACACGTGCACGCTACTGTTTAGCTAAAGGAAGGCTCTGTTTCTGTACATACATGTACACAATATATGCACTGTGCATTTTATGGAATGTTTTCGTTTTCTTTAAATGGAAGGAAATTTTTTATGTGATTCAACTTTCTTAATTTTTTTTCTTTTGAATGAGCAAAATGGAACTGTTATACCGATATTTCATATTTAAGACATTCGGAAACATAAAAGTATGTTAATGATTACGAACTTAGGTTTCCTTACGTGCCATATATCTGGCTACTTACATGTTAAAGGGAAATTGTTGTCAAAAATGTTATAAATCTCGAAACAGCAAAATGTTTTAAAAGCACGTTGTTTTCTTTTTCCACATGGAAGTCGCCATATTGTAGCTCCGCACATATAAAATCTAATACGTGAATCGTAACCGGGGAAGGATAAAACCGGATTTCTCACAGCCATATCTATCTAATCATAAAACTGAAACTAAATAAGTATTTTGTTTTATTCAAGTATTTGACAACGATTTAACGACTGATACAACATTTTATTAATCATTGTTTTTTCATGTTTGATTATCATAACTGGTGCATTGAAATATAATATATATGTATGTGGTAACACATAATTTGATTTTCATATATTATAAGACTTTTATTTGTAAAGTACCACCACCTCACCCGTTTGAGCAAAATTGATTTCCTTCCCCCAGGGATGTTTCTGAAAATTATTCATTTATCGAGATAAGAAGCCTACACTCTATTTAAAACCACTTTAAGCTTTCACTCAGTAAATATTTTCCTTATGCAAATATATATCCATGGCGCATTAGTTTCGGACCCCTTCATTATAAGAATATCTTTTTCGCCAAATATGCTATGTCGATGAACTGTCATAGCAAAACTCTATAAATTACTTGAGATGTGTTCACATTGTAACATTAATTTAAAAACTGACCGGTAAAAGACCGGTATTTTTCTTTTAAAAAAATATGATACGACCTCAAATTCGCTCACATGAAATGATCGACATGTGTATCGGGTATGTGACTGCACTTCCGTTACAGATGACATCATTTAATCATAGAGACATAGAGTTGACTTAGATTGACCCAGAAATATACGTTTTACACAAATTCATCATTTGAACGGGAATAATGTTTTGGTGCCAAAATGTCCCAATGATCCGCTGTTTGGTTGTAATACATGAGTCTTTATATTGTCTAATTGTAGAAAAATAGCAAATACTGATCTCAAGCAGTTCCTTAAAAGTATAGCTTAGCTAGGTACTTAAAGTACAGACGGATAGAAAAATATTACATAAATAATTTAATTGTTTTAGGTTCTATGGATGTGCCAAAGCGACAATTCATAGCTTAGATATATATAATCAGCTAATGAACTTTGGTTGAACATCATGCGTTTAAAAAATTCGTAGCTTGGCTAGATATTTACTTCAGGGAACTAGGTTTGAGCATTTTGTGTTGACACCTGTCATAGCCTGGCTAGATATTTACTTCAGGGAACTAGGTTTGAGCATTTTGTGTTGACACCTGTCATAGCCTGGCTAGATATTTACTTCAGGGAACTAGGTTTGAGCATTTTGTGTTGACACCTGTCATAGCCTGGCTAGATATTTACTTCAGGGAACTAGGTTTGAGCATTTTGTGTTGACACCTGTCATAGCCTGGCTAGATATTTACTTCAGGGAACTAGGTTTGAGCATTTTGTGTTGACACCTGTCATAGCCTGGCTAGATATTTACTTCAGGGAACTAGGTTTGAGCATTTTGTGTTGACACCTGTCATAGCTTGGCTCAGTATTTCCTCTAGGAACTTCGGTTTGAGCACAATGTGTCGATACCAGTTACAACTTATCATATTATATGTCAATCTGCTAATTAGATACAGGAAGCTACATACCTTGATCAGGGACACACACACACACATATATATATAAATATAATATATCCGTGTTTTTATACAAAAATCTTTCGTTGGATGTTTGAGATAGATGTTTTAGGGACATATTTAGTTTTGAAATAGTACGAGGAGAGTTAGGGGGTAGATAGTCAGGAGAGACTGAGCCAGCGAGCTTGAGAGTCAAGACCGAGTTTAGAATACTTAGTATATCAAATATAATATGTATCACGAGGATGTTATACACACAACGAAGAGAAAGATATGAAATCTCGACTTTTTATTTCATCTACCCAGATCCAGATAGCAGTGAGAGCTAATTATATTATCCCTCCCCCACCCCCTCCCAAGCAATGTCCGTATTTCCTGTACAAAGCTGACAATGATATTTCGTATTTTAGATAGAGTATATTTTTTGTTATTTCCCTTTTATGGTAGTGTAGACATCAGACATTAAATAATGTTATAACACAGATCACAAGACAATGGACAGATATTTGAAACAAATACTTATTTATGTGAACAATGAAGGGACTACTGTACGATCACATTACAAGATTTGATGCTTAAAGTTCGACACCGTTTGACGAATAATTAACGTACAACTGATCAAGTTTTAAACAAAAATCCCGATGCAATGGCTGAGAAAGTAACGGATCCAGTCACACAAAGTAAATGGTTACTTAAGTGAACTAATCAGTGTTTATATACAATGATGATCTTAAAATATCAATCGTTTATGTTTTTTTTCTCAAGTTTGTCACTAATTGCATACAACACTTGAACCGTAGATATGAACAGACATGTGGACGATCAGGTTTATACCGTTGACTCGGAATTAAGAGTTTTAGCGAGGCGTTTATTTCCTTTCCGAATGCGTTTCAGTAACTTTTCCCAGAACAATTTCCTTGCTGTATTGAGTCTTGTGCCATCGGTATTGTGAAGGTCCGGCCAATGTAAAGGACGTATTTTGTCCCAGTTTTCTCGAATCATCTTTGGAAACTCGCTTTGTTTTATATCATCTAACAGAATTATGATATTCATGTACTCTCTTCCTTCCCGAAATGAGTACCTACTGGCTACTTTCATAGCAAAGGTTTGCCATTCGTACTCCAGAAATTTACAGCTTACCACAAATACAGTTTGATAAGAATCGTCTATAGCACCCATAATATTATCACATATGTCAAGTCCAGTATCAAACGTTTTGTCCTCGGCACCATAACTCATATCCTGTTGTTCTAGCCAGGGAACTAACGTTTTCCGTATCCATCCACAATCATCCCTGCTGTAGGAAATAAAGATGTCATATGGAAACGTGTCGTGTTCTACAAGATTTCGACACCAAAACCTTAATTTTAAGCTGTATCTCCAGACTACTCGGAACAGAATACCTAGTATTAGGCAGATTACTGTGATAGTAATGGAAACGATCAACCAGAACTGTGACACACAATCAACTCTAAAATCGTGAAAGGTTTCTAGTAACTTGACAATCTTCATGTTGCTATCAACACATACGAGCTCGTTTTTGTCGTATATAACTTCAGTGGTGTCTAACCAAGATAGAAAAGCCAGGTTATCACAATCACACACTAAAGGATTTCCACCAAGTTTCACCGTGAATTTCTCTGACTGCGATCGATAATTATCAAGAATGTTGATTTCGGATAAGGTTAAAGATACTATTAGATTATTACTGATATCAAGCATTTCTAATACCGTCAGTTGTTGTAATATTTCAATAGGAAGGTGAACCAATGAATTGTCGACAAGGAGTAATGTTTTTAGGGAACCCGACTGGTCTGTAAATGTATTCGAGTTAAGTTGTGTTAGAGTGTTTGACGATAGATCGACATGAGAAAGTAGATTTAATCCTTTAAACAGGGTATTCGTATAAAACAGGTCGCTATTTGCTAGTTGACACTCTCTGGCTGTCAGTGTTGACAACATCAACATGTCACTGAACATTTCAGGGTATGGTGATGAACAATCTATTCCGGATATATTAAAGCCTGTAAGATGACTTAAACCGTACATCTTACGTCCACACGTGAATGAAGGAAGTTGGTAACTAATGTCCAGAACTTCGAGATTGTTTTTTTCGACGAAACTTAATCGACCGTAGTCATATGTAAATGGAAAATGTGTAAGATTCAAATGAATAAGCGTTTTGGGTAGATATACACTATGTCGAAAAAGTCCTTTACGTTTTCGTGTGAACGTTGACTTCTTGTAGGAGCAATCAATGTACTTTACTGATGGAAACAGCTTTAAGATAAAAAACACTTGTGGTGACTGAAAGGAATTTTTTGATATATCTAAATACTCAATACAGCCTCTACTTGCCCATGTCTTAAATGCCACAGTATTGATACTACCGATTGCATTGTCAGACATAAATAGTTTTTTCGTGCAAACTTTGCTGAGGAACCATACGTCTGAAGTTCCCAATTGAACGGTTCCGCCATTACGCACATAGTTGGAACTTAATCTAATCGAATCCATCTTGCTTTCCCGTAGTCCGTAAAGAAGGGACAGGACTTCAGTAATGTCTCTGTATCGGCGTGAATCCAACACTAACGACGATAAGCTTTGAAATGGATACAAGGCATCACTTTCTAACTTTCCTGTTTTAAAGAAAAGACTCAATTCCATGATGTTCATTTCTCCCAATGCTTGAAATGTCGTGTTTTTAATAGATAGTTCACCGTTTTGGTAGAAGTGCAAATTTTTCAATTTTTTGAAATTCAAAAATCCTTTCCCAAAGTGCATACCATCAAATATATCAATATAAAGAGTGTCTATATTGGAAAGAGACAAAAACGTTGCTTCTGGAAAGACTTTTCGCAAATTGAAATTGTTACTATGAATAATCAGCGTCCGCAGATTTTTCAAAGACTGGAAAGTGGTTTCCTTGAAAGAGGAGTCATCCAGCGCATTGTGTGATAGATCTAGACGCTGCAAATATCCAAGGTGATCGAAAGCGCCAGTTGTAATCACAGATAAGTTGTTATAAGATAGTGAAAGGTGCACTAAATACGGAATAGTTATAAACGCCCCTTTCTGTAAGATCATCAAACGGTTATAACTTAGATCAAGAAGGGTTGTGTTTTCGTCCATACTACGAGGAATAGCTTGCAATCGACACCCTTGACACGTGACCTGTGATGTTTCTCCTGATCTATAAACATCGCAGCAATCCTTGTCCGTTAGTCGTTCTGAAATAAAGGGGAAATAACTCAGATTAATACAAGTTGAACGTTACAGTAGTTGTGTGACCAACCATTTAGTGTTCTTACAAAGACGACTTCGATTTATTTTGTACTGACAATAATAGTTGGTAGTCTGTTTCTATGGAATCTTTAATTCAATAACCATAGCGACCTGTTTGGATATTTTCACCATATTTTCCTTCCCTGGGGGATATAATCATATAATACGTGTTTTGGATATCTTTCGAGAAGTTGGTTGGCAAAATGGTACTATTGTTTATGTAATAGTATTTATCATGTATACTGGAATTAGTTACAAAGGTCTTCTATCAATATTCAGCTTGTGACATTTTCTTGAAAAGAAAATTATTATTCTTATATTAATACCAATAACGTGATTTAGTTTCCTGTCAATATTTAGATTTTGGTGCATGTTTGTGGTATTTTTGGACATTTTTATGTGATATTTTGCTTTTGTTATTATACCTGAAAATAAGTCGAACGAACGGTTTAGAGGTATGCTCACCAGTGCCTGATAACTTGGAAAAGATTCACACATCCTATAACGTTATTTATTATATTCAAAGATTTGGCACTATTCTTCAAAAGAGAACATTATTTGATTATTTGGTATATAGATATACATCATCTTGAGATATGTTTAGATGTTGTGTATCGGTTTTAGGAGAGTGTTTGATATAAGTTGGAAAACTTTTGCCCGATCCTCATTGTATTTTATTTAATACAATCAAAACATGTTGAAATAAAACCCGAGAACAATCGTTAACATCTCATTTAACAGTCCCGATGACATTATTTCATAATGATTTGGGAGCATTATTTTTCTATATATTTTCATTTCTTTTTTGAAAAAAGGAGGAAAATGCATGTGTTGTGTTTGTTCATGTGTTGTGTCTCTACATGTGTTGTGTCTCTACATGTGTTGTGTTTGTTCATGTGTTGTGTCTGTTCATGTGTTGTGTCTCTACATGTGTTGTGTTTGTTCATGTGTTGTGTCTCTACATGTGTTGTGTTTGTTCATGTGTTGTGTCTCTACATGTGTTGTGTCTGTTCATGTGTTGTGTCTGTTCATGTGTTGTGTTTCTACATGTGTTATGTCTTTTCAAGGCTATGTCTCTACATGTGTTGTGTCTGTTCATGTGTTGTGTCTGTTCATGTGTTGTGTCTCTCCATGTGTTGTGTCTCTACATGTGTTGTGTTTGTTCATGTGTTGTGTCTGTTCATGTGTTGTGTTTGTTCATGTGTTATGTCTCTATATGTGTTGTGTCTGTTCATGTGTTGTGTCTGTTCATGTGTTGTGTCTCTACATGTGTTGTGTCTGTTCATGTGTTGTGTCTCTACATGTGTTGTGTCTGTTCATACGTTGTGTTTGTTCATGTGTTTTGTCTGTTCATGTGTTGTGTCTCTACATGTGTTATGTCTTTTCATGTGCTATGTCTCTACATGTGTTGTGTCTGTTCATGTGTTGTTTCTGTTCATGTGTTGTGTCTCTACATGTGTTGTGTCTCTCCATGTGTTGTGTCTCTACATGTGTTGTGTCTGTTCATGTGTTGTGTCTCTACATGTGTTGTGTCTGTTCATGTGTTGTGTCTCTCCATGTGTTGTGTCTGTTCATGTGTTGTGTCTCTCCATGTGTTGTGTCTGTTCATGTGTTGTGTCTCTCCATGTGTTGTGTCTGTTCATGTGTTGTGTCTCTACATGTGTTGTGTCTGTTCATGTGTTGTGTCTCTACATGTGTTGTGTCTGTTCCTGTGTTGTGTCTCTCCATGTGTTGTGTCTGTTCATGTGTTGTGTCTCTACATGTGTTGTGTCTGTTCATGTGTTGTGTCTCTACATGTGTTGTGTCTGTTCCTGTGTTGTGTCTCTCCATGTGTTGTGTCTGTTCATGTGTTGTGTCTCTACATGTGTTGTGTCTGTTCCTGTGTTGTGTCTCTCCATGTGTTGTGTCTGTTCATGTGTTGTGTCTCTACATGTGTTGTGTCTCTCCATGTGTTGTGTCTCTACATGTGTTGTGTCTGTTCCTGTGTTGTGTCTCTCCATGTGTTGTGTCTGTTCCTGTGTTGTGTCTGTACATGTGTTGTGTCTGTTCATGTGTTGTGTCTCTACATGTGTTGTGTCTCTCCATGTGTTGTGTCTCTACATGTGTTGTGTCTGTTCCTGTGTTGTGTCTCTCCATGTGTTGTGTCTGTTCCTGTGTTGTGTCTGTACATGTGTTGTGTCTGTTCATGTGTTGTGTCTCTACATGTGTTGTGTCTCTCCATGTGTTGTGTCTCTACATGTGTTGTGTCTGTTTCTGTGTTGTGTCTCTACATGTGTTGTGTCTGTTCCTGTGTTGTGTCTCTACATGTGTTGTGTCTGTTCATGTGTTGTGTCTCTACATGTGTTGTGTCTGTTCCTGTGTTGTGTCTCTACATGTGTTGTGTCTGTTCATGTGTTGTGTCTCTACATGTGTTGTGTCTGTTCCTGTGTTGTGTCTCTACATGTGTTGTGTCTGTTCATGTGTTGTGTCTCTCCATGTGTTGTGTCTGTTCATGTGTTGTGTCTCTCCATGTGTTGTGTCTCTACATGTGTTGTGTCTGTTCCTGTGTTGTGTCTCTACATGTGTTGTGTCTGTTCATGTGTTGTGTCTCTACATGTGTTGTGTCTCTCCATGTGTTGTGTCTCTACATGTGTTGTGTCTGTTCATGTGTTGTGTCTCTCCATGTGTTGTGTCTGTTCATGTGTTGTGTCTCTCCATGTGTTGTGTCTCTCCATGTGTTGTGTCTCTACATGTGTTGTGTCTGTTCATGTGTTGTGTCTCTACATGTGTTGTGTCTGTTCATGTGTTGTATCTCTACATGTGTTGTGTCTACATGTGTTGTGTCTGTTCATGTGTTGTATCTCTACATGTGTTGTGTCTCTACATGTGTTGTGTCTGTTCATGTGTTGTGTCTCTACATGTGTTGTGTCTCTCCATGTGTTGTGTCTCTACATGTGTTGTGTCTGTTCATGTGTTGTGTCTCTACATGTGTTGTGTATGTTCATGTGTTGTATCTCTACATGTGTTGTGTCTCTACATGTGTTGTGTCTCTACATGTGTTGTATCTCTACATGTGTTGTGTCTGTTCCTGTGTTGTGTCTCTACATGTGTTGTGTCTGTTCCTGTGTTGTGTCTCTACATGTGTTGTGTCTGTTCCTGTGTTGTGTCTCTCCATGTGTTGTGTCTCTCCATGTGTTGTGTCTCTCCATGTGTTGTGTCTCTACATGTGTTGTGTCTGTTCCTGTGTTGTGTCTCTCCATGTGTTGTGTCTCTCCATGTGTTGTGTCTCTACATGTGTTGTGTCTCTCCATGTGTTGTGTCTCTACATGTGTTGTGTCTCTACATGTGTTGTGTCTGTTCATGTGTTGTGTCTCTACATGTGTTGTGTCTCTCCATGTGTTGTGTCTCTACATGTGTTGTGTCTGTTCCTGTGTTGTGTCTCTACATGTGTTGTGTCTGTTCCTGTGTTGTGTCTCTACATGTGTTGTGTCTGTTCCTGTGTTGTGTCTCTACATGTGTTGTGTCTCTACATGTGTTGTGTCTGTTCCTGTGTTGTGTCTCTACATGTGTTGTGTCTGTTCCTGTGTTGTGTCTCTACATGTGTTGTGTCTGTTCCTGTGTTGTGTCTCTACATGTGTTGTGTCTGTTCCTGTGTTGTGTCTCTACATGTGTTGTGTCTGTTCCTGTGTTGTGTCTTACTCTGTAGATGTTCATGAGTTGAGAATACAAAATCAACCTAACTACCTTATTTGATGGTTCTCTTATTTTATATTTTAAAAAGGAATTTTGTCGATAGGAAATACTTAGTTTTATCCTGCAACTGGCGCTAACATTGTCGGAACTAACCCGCAAATCGACATTTTTATTGTAATTTTTAGCACTAATACAGTTTATATTTTAAGCCACTGACCATGTATCCTCTCTCTATATTGTGCTTTCCGTACTGTAGAAGACTTCAAAATACTTCGTAAATCATTGGGTATTTTAATTATAATTTGGATGAGAACAGAGACAAAAAATTGATCTCGTTGTATTTCGTCACTAGACAATATGTTCACGCATTCTGTGTGGTAAACAGACGATTAAATCCAGACAGTCTATAGTATTGTTACATAAAAAATACATATGGTTTTGGTAAAAAACGACGGGAGGTCAGGTAGCGCAGTGATTACTACGCCTTTCAGTTGAACAGGAACAGGAATGTTGAGACACCATCTCAAATCACAATTAAAATAAAAATATGTATTTACCTGAATAGGAAACACTCCACTGAAAGTAGATTACCAGAACAAGGAAGAGGTTTTCCATACCGTCGCTCGGATGGTTATCCAGGAAGTAAATAAGTGATAGAAAATCGTTATGTGACGTCATCATTATGTTGTGTTCACATGTTCTATTATAAAAAAGACGTGTTAGCTTTATGAGACTACTTTTAAGTCGCTTCCGAATGATCTGGCGAAAATGTTGGACACAAAGTCCAACATCGTTGGATATTATTCACGTTTTTTTTTACAAACAGTCACACATTTCATTACCGCTGTACGACTTTAAATACGTATGTCTGTTTAGTAACAGTCCCCACTACACCAAACTTTGTTATCTATTTGGATAACTGTAAATGGGTTTTCCCCAGTAATACATTTACACTGGATTTACTTGAATGGTTACACTTCGTTGAACACGAAAACTACTTATGACTAGTTAAAACCCTGCCTTTTGGTATGAAGCTGCAGTAGTTACTTTTATATTTACTCCAATGTATAAACAGATAGTAGAAAAGAAATTACTTGGCATTAACAATTTGAATAATTTTCTATACTGAATAGGGAATTATTTGTCAGTACGAACAACTTCGTTTCTAAATACTACTATCTTAGTACAATGTTTACTGTGATATTTTATTTTCAATAAATTTTATTAATATAAATATCAAACTGATAAGAGAGTAGCTTTATAACATCTGTTTAGTCTTATTAATCCATGCATACATACATTAGTCTTACCTATCTATCCATCCATCCTCAGAATTTATATTCAATGAATCATAGGACTAGTGTACCTTATCTCGATTTTGGCATTATGTTTCGATCAATTTCGGTTCCCCTCATTCGCCTCCTAAGTTTCAAAGTTTAGAACCTTAGCATCACTGACGAATCCTAGAAGGACGAAACAGTTGCTTGGTGCAGTTAATTAATTATCTCGTAATTCAATTAATTTATTTCCCTGTTATTTCCAATAGAACATCAATTACTTGTATGTATTTTGAACTGTGCCACTTAATTGGTTGACGTTGATAAAGAAATGATAACGACTGCTTCCGGTCATCCTATTGACACTGAATTTAAAAATAAGTTTAAAAAATAAACTTAATTGCCAAGTTCAATCAACAGAACTCCCATCTCCAAAACATCAAA